GGGAAAGGCCACTAGGGCGCGGCGCTGGGCGCCCGGGTGGACGGGGCGCGGAGCCGACCCCGAACTTGCTGGGGTGCGGGGCAGACTAGCGGATCTCCACCCCTCCTTCCTCGGGTTCCGCGAGGCTGGCCAGGTGTATGCTTACGTGTCTGTGGACGAGCCCGTGACCCCGGCCCCTGCGCTCACAGACTCGAGCTGGGGCGCCCGATATTGCGCCCCTGGACCCCGGACCCAGCGCAGGGATCCGGTTTCCCGGGGACGCCGCCTCAGTGCCCCTGGCCTTGAGCCGGGTGTAGGATGGGCGCTGCAGGCGTGGAATCCCGCGGGCGTCCCGCGGCTCCCGCACTTTCTAACCCAGCAGGGCAACTGCCTAGAGCGTCCCCAGCTGGGGGGCTTGGGGAGGGGGGTGGCAGGCCCATTTGGATGCAACCCCGCTTCTGCAAGGTCCCGACCCAGCTTCTCTCCCCCTCTCCCCCTAGGCGGGACTTCCACTCGCTTGCCTTCCGGGGGCGCGGGTCATGGAGTGGCGGCGGAGTGGCCGAGGGCCTCCCACGCAGCTGCGCGGACGGACAGCCCAGCCTCCCTGCCCGCAGGCTCTGGGAGGGGGCGGCGCGCAGCAGGCCGCCTGGGCCACGCTCGTCTGTGGCGCTTTCCGTCTGCAGAAACGGGCCCTCCACTCACCGTCCTGGGTGCGGAGGACTCTGCCTGGGACCAGGGTTACCATGCGCTAGACACCCTGGTGCTGGGGAGGGGTGGGCCTGTGGAGGGACGGGGTGGTCCTGTTCACTTCTCCAGGACAGCGGACAGATAGAGTGGAGTGTCCTGTAAGGTGGCAAACAGGGTCCCCATTCGCACCCTGGGCCAGGGATCCCACAGAAGGTCCCATGGCAGGCTGCAGGCTCTTCATGAGCCTCGGCATGTGCCATTGGGGAGGGGAGCAGGGGGCTTCAGCGCTCCCAGCGCCCCCACCTCCAGTCACCCCATCCTCTCTCGCCCCAGGATGCTGAGTGGGGCTCTGTGTTCCCACTCTGCCTGCTCGCTCTTCTTGGGACTTCCCACCTCTGGACTTCACCATCAGATCCCCCGCTTTCTCTCTTTTTGCATTGCACCTGGGGCGAGGGTGGAGAGGTGTCCTCTGCTCCCTGCTGCTCAGGGTCCTGGGAACTTGCTGAGACAGGGGCCCTGCTAGGCTCCAGGGTGTTCTCCACCCCCTCAGCCAAGAAGCTGAGCCAGGATGGCAAGACCCCAGGACAGGGAAGCCTTTGAACTGCTCTCTGCCCTGCCCC